GTAAGACTTTATTTTGGGGGGCTCCAAAATCACTGCAGATGAGGACTGCAGCCATGAAATTAAAAGACACTTGCTCCTTGGAAGAAAACTTGTGACCAACCTAGACAACATATTAAAAAGCAGAGACATTACTCTGCCAAAAAAGGTCCATCTAGTCAAAGCTATGGTTTTTCCAGTAGTTATGTATGGAGGTGAGTGTTGGACTATAAAGAAAGCTGAGTGCCAAAGACTTGATGCTTTTGAACTGGGGTGTTGGCGAAGACTCTTGAGAGTCCCTTGGACTGCAACGATATCCAACCAGTTCATCCTAAAGGAAATCAGTCCTGAATATTCATTGGAAGGACTGATGCTAAAGGTGAAGCTCTAATACTTTGGCCACCTGATGCGGAGAACTGACTCACTGGAAAAGACCCTGATGCTGGGATAGGTTGAAGGCAGGAGAAGGGTATGACAGAGGATTAGATGGTTGGATGCCATTAGCAACTCGATGGACATGAGTGTGAGTAAGCTCCAGGAGTTGCTGATGGACAGGGAAGTCTGGCATGCTGCAGTCCGTGGGGTCACAAAGATTCTGACATGACTGAGTGACTGAACTGAACTGCTAAGTAACAGTGAAAAATGTTAACTAAACAATCCTTCCAAAACATTCAAAGAGAATATAAAAAATAAGTAGAACAGAAAAAAGAAATGGAGCAATAAACACAGACATTAATAAGTTAGAAATAGTAGAGGTGATCTATGTAATAAAATGAAATAACAGGACTGATCAACACTGTCAAGGACCCCTTCCCTTTAAATAAATGCCAACAACTTTAATCAAGAAAAAAGACAAAATTAAGAAGAAAAGGAATCATACACAGGCACTTATTGCTGTACTGAAATTTTTAAACTTTTAGGAAAAAGGATGACTTCCAAATATTTTTTCATGAAAATTGACCCAAAGAAGAAAATCTAAATAGAATAACAAACAATGAGTAATATTGAGAAGTAGGTCAAAGTCAAAAACATTTTTTTCTAAATTCAGGAAACAAGTCATTGCTATGTTAAACTGTTCCAAAGTAAAGAAACTAAGAAAACTCTTTCAACATACTTTTTCAAGACAGTATAACTTTGCCTTGTAAACCTAATAAAGAGAGCATTCATATCAGAAAACTAAAGGAAACTCTTAGCTATGAATACAGATCCCCAAATCTTATACAAGGAGGCAATTTATAAATCACTATCAGCAGTGCATTCAGTTCACTTCAGTCGCTCTTTGCAACCCCATGGACTGCAGCACGCCAGGCCTCCCTGTCCATCACCAACTCCTGGAGTTTACTCAATCTCATGTCCATCAAGACAGTGACGCCATTTAATCATCTCATTCTCTGTCGTCCCCTTCTCCTCCTACCCTCAATCTTTCCCAGCATCAGGGTCTTTTCTTGAGTCAGTTCTTTGCATCAGGTGGCTAAAGTACTGGAGTTTCAGCTTCACTATCAGTCCTTCCAATGAATATTCAGGACTGATTTCCTTTACCATTGACTGGTTTGATCTCCTTGCAGTTCAAGGGACTTTCTGTCCAAGAGTCTTCTCCAACACCACAGTTCAAAAGAATCAATTCTTCAGTGCTCAGCTTTCTTTATAGTCCAACTCTCACATCCATACATGACTACTGGAAAAACCATAGCTTTGACTAGATGGANAGAATAAATCAAAGTCGAAACATATGATGATCACCATAGACTCTGATAATGTATGTACTTCTAATAAAAACAAAACTTATCTCAAATAGAATGCCTCTGGAACATTATCAAAGCAAGTCTACATGTGTGTCCACGTGCAGAGTATGTTTTACAGATAAAGTGTGATCTACTAAAACTCAGCAAGTTAGTCTTGAAGAAATCAGTTAAGCTAGTTTCTAAAGCAATAAAAAAGTATACAGAGAAATGCAAGAACACTCATCCTAACACTGTTTACAATAGCAAAGCTTTGAAAACAGCTTGAATGTGGGCTAAATAAATGATGACACATCCCATCAGTAGGGTAGAATACATCCACTAAAGCCTGATGGCGGTTTATAGTTACTGCCAAGGAAAGATGCCCACAATACAGAAGTCAGTGGAAACAAATGCTATTTAAGGATATGGAGAATATGAGCCCATTTTGATGTAAGTATGTACACAGAACTGAAGAAAAAGGAAAAGCTCTTTGCGTACACAGAGCTGACAGTGGAGCCAAGACTTAAAGCCAGACAATTTTGATCCCTGAGTCTGTGCTCAGGTCCTAAGCTATGCAGCCCCCCTCCCCCACAATCTTTTCCACAATCTTTTCCAGAATTCTGTCTGGAAAGTTTAGAAGGGCAGG